CGCGGCCGGGACGCGCTCGGCAGACATGGACTTGCATTGTGATTGTGCTGCCGAAACGCCGGCCGCCGAGCCGCCGGCGGGCAAGATCAATAAAACCGCCTTCAAATTGTTTAAGAAGAGGAAATCGGGGGGCACCATGCCCAGCATCTTCGGGGTCAGGAGCAAAGGGGACGGGAAGGGCTCGGCCAAGCCGGGCATGGTGAGGAGCCGGACTCACGACGGCCTGGCCGAGGTGGCCGTGCTGGAGGGCGCCAGGAAGGAGGACCCGCGCGCGGGCGGCGCGGGCGGCCGCGGGGACCCGGCCCCAGCCGAGCCCCCCAGGGCGGCCGTGAGCGCCGTGGGCTCGCTGGCCCCCAGCTCGGTGGCCAAGTCGCACAGTTTCTTCTCGCTCCTGAAAAAGAACGGGCGCTCGGAAAACGGCAAAGGCGAGCCGGCCGAGCCGCACAAGGCCGGCGGCAAACAAAAGCGGGGGCTGAAAGGTATCTTCAACAGCATGCGCTGGCCCCGCAAGGACAAGCGGGCCAAGGAGGAGGACAAGGAGGAGCCCCCCGGCGGCCAGGCCGGACTCATTCTGCCCGGGTCCCTCACCGCCAGCCTGGAGTGCGTCAAGGAGGGCGCCCCCCGACCCGCGGGCGAGCCCGCCGGCGCCGGCAAGGACGCTCCGCAGGCGCCACCAGGTGAGCCGCGCGGGGGAGAGCAGGTGGCCGCGCCCGCGGACCAGGCTGCAGAGCGGCGCGCCGGCGAGGCCGGGAGCCCCGGGTTACGTAAGGACGCGAGCACGCGGCCGGAGCAGCCCGGCCATCGCCGCCAGGAGAAGCCCCGGGGCCTCCCCGAAGTCCCGGCGGCGGCCGAGGACGCCTCCAGAACAGGTGACGTTCTGTTCCAGACCGTGCCCCTTGTTGAGTCTGATTGTGGCAGTGGCCGAGAGTCCGCCGCCCCTGACCCTGCCTGTGTCGATCCACCCTCAGAGCCATCGATTGATCGTATATGTTTGATGTTTTCTGACGTGGCTTCACTGAAAAGCTTTGACTCTCTTACAGGCTGTGGAGATATAATTGCAGACCAGGAGGAGGGGGCAGGTCCCAGCTGTGACAAGAATGCCCCGGGAACAAGCAAGCCAGTGCTCTCTAAAAAGAACGCCAGCATGCTGGCCTACCAAGGAGGCGGGGAGGAGATGGCCAGCCCGGATGAGGTGGACAACACCTATCTCCAGGAATTCTGGGACATGCTTTCGCAGACGGAGGATCAAGGCCCAGGCCCCCAAGAGGTGGCGGTGAAGGCCACTGCAGCGCTGGAGACCAAGGGACTACTGGAGACCGCCAAGGACCCCCGCAGGGTGGAGGGGGCTAAGGATGTGTCCTTGGTCAAACGCAGGAGGCTCAACCGGATTCCCATTGAGCCCCAGCAGAAGGAGGATCCCAAGCACCCGGAGAAGGACCAGCAGGAAGGTGTCCCCAACAGTGACGAGGGCTACTGGGACTCAACCACGCCCGGCCCGGAAGAAGAAGGCACCAACAGCGGTAAGAAGGCGGGCCTGCCCCGGGATAGCTACAGTGGGGATGCGCTCTATGATCTATACGCCGACCCGGACGAAAGCCCCACGGTCCCTCCTGTCACCGAAGACACGTCCTGCTTGTCCCGGTTAAAGCCGGTGTCACCGGTCACCATAACCTGTCCCTTGCGAACACCAGGCAGTTTGCTGAAGGACTCTAAAATCCCCATTAGCATCAAGCACCTCGCGAACCTTCCCTCCAGCCATCCGGTGGTACACCAGCAACCCACCCGGAGTGAGATGCCCAGAACAAAAATCCCCGTTTCCAAAGTGCTGGTCCGCCGGGTCAGCAGCCGGGGCTTGGCCGGGACCACCATGCGAGCGGCTGCGTGCCATGACGGTGCCAAAAAGTTGTGAGTTCTCAAAGGCCAAGAGGGTCCCTATGGCATGGAGTACAACTTCCCACTGGAAACCACTCCAATCAGTTTCTCTTCCCAGAAAGGACAACGGCGTCAGGACCACCCCTGCCCTGGAGCCGGGACTGAGGCGGTCTGTGGGCCCTGGGTAGGGGCAGGACCCTCCAGAGAAGGGCTGCTACCTTGGGGTCCTGCTCTAAGATAAGTCCCTGAGAACCATTTTCAAGCACTTTTTTTTTTTTTTTTTTTTGCTTTTAATAACACTGGACACTCTGAAGTCACCTTTACTTGCCTTTGTGGGAAAGCAGGACTTAAGGAAACGTAGATAAGGGTCACACCGGGAGACTGTGCTGCCCTGAGGGTCCAGAAGGCTGGAGGAATCACACTGTGCAACCAGAGGGGCCCTCCTTCCGGGACACTGCCTTCCTTCCTTTCCCATTTAGGCAAAATCAAAAACAAAGGTCCTTTATTGTTATCACTGTGGAGAACACCTGCGGGGCTGGAGGTGCCAGGTACCTGATGAGCAGAGGGTGTCAGGGAGTGGCGGCAAACTTCCATATTTGCACTTGCTAGATACGAAAGTAGGGAAATATTAACCGCTAGGAAAATAGAAGGAGAGTTTGGGATTGGTTGGTTTCGATCTTTTGGGGAGAAATAAAGAAAAAACACCACAGAGCAGGCTTGTGTGTGTGCGTGTTTGTGTGTGTGTGTGTGTGTGTGTGTCCCCAGTGCAGAAAGCAGGATCAGGGAACCATTTCATTATAAATGCTAATAGCACAGGATCTTAGCATTTATAAACTGAAACCTTTTCATGTGTACATAATGTGTGTTTAACCGTCGATCCAGCTGGTACCACTTTCTAGTCTGCTGGTAACCTAGGGTTTGAAATGCTGATTGTATAGCTAGTATGATGACTGTCCCCAAACCACTGATGCTCTCTTTCTGTACCCGAAGCAAATGTGTTATTGTTTTGTATGGGTTGTCTGGCTCTTAATACAAAAAAGAAAAAAAAAAATCTATTGTGTTGCTGTTACAGAGGAAGGGTTTTGCCTTGTCTTGCTTGACAGTCTGTTTGTTTCTTGTCCCCAACCCTGATGTTCAGAGATTTTTTTCCTTGGTTATAAAATTGTGGATTCAACCATTGGAATATCCAAAATGAGGAACATGCAAAGAAAAACAAGGGGGAAAACCAGAGCTTTTCTTGATAGTTGGCTTTTGCGTCATATGCCTGAGACAGGGATGTTCAGGACATGACATTGACAAGCTTACGTGGTGTAAACACTTTATACCAAGGTGTTTTTGAAGAGTGGTTTTCTTAAATGTCTGTTTTCTAATATGGCTGAGGAAAAATTTATATCAGAATGCTTTACGATAGGCCAAGTTTGAATGATAAACTGAAGCAGTTCCTAGAACGCTTTGAAGAGTCTGCTGATTAAATTAATATCCTCTTTGAATTGCACTGTGGTGTATTTAATCATAAGGCCAGAGCTGCTGCTAGGAGGTGATTCATTGTATCAAATTAGACACAGTCAAGTAAAGCCCACATCTCAAAATGGCATGAGTGGTTCTACATAACTTTAATTTTCCAGGGGGCCAGCTTAAGCGATGAAACCACGTTGCATATTTTTTAAGGTGGTTTCATATCTGGGAAAGAAAAAGGCAAGTTAAATACACGAAAACCTATTGTAATAATGTTAAGGGAGGACCAGGATCAAAAGGCATCAACAGGAAGTGAATTGGAGCCCAGTACAATGCAGGTGATTCCCCACTTGCAGTCATTCGACTAGAAGAGGTGGGAAAGGATTGCAGGATTTCCTTGTAGCCGCTTTAGTAGGTGACTGGCTTTTATAGCATCGTGTCAGATCCTGAATGTTATTGCAAAGTAATGTTTTAATATTTAATTTCCTCCCTGTCTACAGATGAGCCCCTCCACTCAGACATAGCCTTCAGCATTCTGAATACACCACCATAGGAGAAACACACATTCACACGCGCTCGCACACTCGCTGAGCTGTGCACAAACGAACAGACAAAAGGAGGCCACTGGAGATCGGCAAAGACTAGCAATGATTTCTGTCTTAAGAAGGGGAGTTAAGTTTGATTTTAACGCTAATGGTGTTGTTTAGACTCCAGAAACACTCATTTCCCTCTAGTGAGTGGGCAGAACATCAATTTTTTATCAGTAGCTGTAAAACAAAGGGTCTTTATTTCCTTCTTGCACGGGTTATAGTCTCCTTTGCATGAATCCATGGCAAAGTTCTGTTTGTTCCATTGTACAGGAAAGTGGAGCGTACAGGAAGAGCCGATGAGAGTCTTGTAATAAGTAGAGGCAACCTATTTCGTAAGCACTAGAAGGGAGCTCTGATAGTGTAGTGCCTAAGGCATTGACTGCTAACCAGAAGGCTGGCTGTTCAAACCCACCAGCCACTCCTCGGGAAGGAAGATCGGGCAATCTACTTCCGTACTAATACCTCCTTGGAAACCCAAGGAGGGGTCGCTATGAGTCGGGTCCAACTCGATGGCACACAGCAAGGAAACTTTTGGCTTTCATGATTTTAGGACTTATTTCTGATTTTACGCTACTGTACTGTGTCTTCTTGAGTATAAGTAAACTGTTAGCGAGGTTTTACCTTCATTTTCCCTTGCCTATAGGGAATTTGCCAGTTATATAAGATTGAAAATACTTTGTTTCTTTTTTTGTTCTTTTTTTCCCCCCATATCTTTCCTGTGTGTTTTTACTAAATGTGCATTTAAAGAATTCCACCCATCCCAATCAAATGAAGGATTCAGTCAATGAATTAAACAGGCCCAAGGAGCTGTGGTGGTATAGTGCCTAAGGCATTTGACTACTAACCAGAAGGTTGGCGGTTCAAACCCACCAGCCACTCCACAGAAGGAAGACCGGGCAATCTACTTCTGTAAAGATTTACCACCTTGGAAACCCAGTAGGGGTTGCTATGAGTCAGAATCAACTCAGGGGCAGTGAGTTTGGGTTTTGGTTTTAATAACTTGTTATGGGGAAAACATTGGGGTCACAAGGGTGGCTTGTCAACCATTTCCAGCCACAGAAAAGAGGTCATTGAACACAGAGTTGTTTTCTTGTATCACGGGCTACTTCCTCTCATTCATGCACGTGGTGATGGTTTTTCAGGATTTTAATAGATTTACTTTCCAAGTTACTGTCACTGCATTATCTAATTACCCTGTGGGGATTAGACAGGCCCTGTGTTTGCTGATGTTTTAAAATCAGAATTGGATATGGGCTGATGACAGCTTTTGTCCTGTAAGTGTGATTCTGATACTTCGTTGATTAAGCCATCTTGGCCAAAGAACTGGCCTAATTGGAAGGAAAAAAATATCAAATCAATTATTGGACCTGAATTTTTCTGCCAGTTTAGCAGCTCTGTATAAAGACATTCCACCTTTAATAGCTACATTATACATAAAACGATACAGGGAGCACTCAAGTTGATGCCTTTATTCTTCCATTAGCACCAAGTAGGAGAAATTGTACTACAATGTTTTCAATAATCACAACAGGAAATGGGCTTTGATCATTTCACCTAATAACAACATTGGAGCAGAGGCCATTAAGGGCTTCCTTGCTATACTTTTTTTTTTTTTTTTTTCCCACAAATTTTCTGTCTATTTAAGAACAGCATGCTTAACACCTATGAAAGTGATGACCTATTGAGTTTGCAGGGTTTTATTCATTAATCTCAGAAGCAGTTTTCAAGTATTTGAATTTAAATGATTATGCAAATAACCCTTTGCTCAAACAGTTCTCAGGGTAAAAAGAATGGATTAGGTATCAAGATTTCTTTCCACTTTCTAAGGGTCTTCGTTATTTACATTTTTTTTTTTTTTTTAGATTCATTTTCAAAGGTGACTCTGCACAGCTACCTTTGAAGAGATTGATTGATGTAGCCTCCCCTTCTCTGTTTTAGTCTTATCTGCCTGGTGTCCTCAGACATTGGTAATGGCACGCTTCATACAATGTTAGTGCGCCTTGACCATCTTCATGGTAGTAGGACTTATTACTGGCTATCTGCTATTTACTTTCTGAATTTCTCTCTTGAATTACAAACATATGGATTGGCCTCCCCTGTGCTTGGCTTCCATTAAGACACGTGCCATGATATTCACTTATACTTTGCTCCCATTATCTCTGCTGAGAAATCAGAGAGTTTTATATATTTTATATATTCTTCACTAGAAGGAAAATGCATCAGGACTACCCCTCACTACCTTTGAGGAGAGCCACTTAAAAGTACCCACATGAAATAAGAGGAAAAGCTCAAACACCTAGGCCCAACCTAGTTTTCCCATGCCCCTTCTCCAAGGAGAGCAAGGAATGAACATGTTTCTTATTTTTGTAAACTCAGCCTTTGACATTTTCAGTTCATTACTCAAGAGTATTTACATAAGAGTTTGGGACCAAAGGGCTAGTATGGTAGACTGGTCTCTTTTGGAACCTGGAAGACAAGCATTTACTATATAAACGAAGGAAACCATGACCTTGACAGTATAATGTGCACATGTGGGTCTCCCTCAAACAGTCATTGACTTTGTGACCCATCCTGCTCTGAAGAGTTTCTGATGACTGTCGTGGGCTGCTTCTCAAAACCTTTTCACTAGGATGATGACTTAAAGGAGACAGTGTGTGTAACAATAGCCACTTAGATGGAATGTTACTATCTCGCTGCAGATGATGTTTGTATGGGATGAATCAGGAGGATAGTTTCGTAATTATAGAAAAGACTTCTTTCTCTGATAAAGGAAAGTTTCAGTCACAAAACCTCCAGAGCTGGAATGGGGTACATTTTGTCATCAATATTTATTTACGTTAATTCAATGCAGTTCATACTTATTGCGATAGAGTGTATCTGATACTTAACAAAACCCATGAAGACTGGCACTCACACATACCTATACTATACTTGGATTTTCTTAATATTCATGAAAAATACCTTTATTTTATCGTACCTACTTTTTTTTGTA